ATAGGGGGTGAGACAAAGTGACCTAAAGCGAGGGACACAAGCTAGCAGAGCCATGTCTTTGGTAATTGCCAGCTCTTCACTTAAGAGATCAATTTGTTGTTGTAACACATTAATTACCTGGTGAAGATGCTGATTGATAAGGGACTGAGTGTGAAAGGTAGAGGAGGTTTTGGACATGGCCTCATTGAGTGTCTCCACAGTAGTGGAGGATTGGGTGATAGCCACTGCAGCAGTGGCGGCCAAACCTAATGCAAGGATGATGGCTGAGATGAGAGAGGCAGTGACCCCAAAATCCCGTTTTAAGTGGAAGGCTGTCCGCTCTATAAGGGTGACAGCATGGAAGTGGGTCACATTGGTGACTGGAACCCAAAGGGCCATGGATACACGCATAAAGAGAACTATGTGAGCTGGATGGTTCCAGCAGGCCGCCAGTACACAGGTGGTGTTGGTATCGGAGCAGTTGAGTTGTCCCCGAGGGTCGGAGGTAACATTGGCTAACAGGCAAACGGGGGCCACACACAAATGGGGGTAGGGGGCCAGGATGTCCTGTGATCAATGGATGTAAGGATTTTTTTTTTCAGTACAAGTAGAGGGATTGGTGTTAGTATAAGTGCCATTGGAGAGCTGAAGGCCCTGCTGTGCCAGTAACAGACTCATGTCCAAGCAGGCATGTGGATCACAGAGGTCCCAGTTACCAAGTATTGATTCACAGTTGGTATGGGAGATCTTAATGCCACAGGGATAGGTGGGGGCCAGTTGTCTCCAAGATCCTAGGGGGTGATTAGAGGGGGAGCAGCTGAAGTGGCAAAAGGGAGGGATGGCATGGTTAGGCTTAGGGTGGCATCTCTGCAATGGTATAGGGAGTGCAAGGAAAAGGGTGCAAGGGAGCATGTGCATAGGCAGTTGGGGAGCAGTGGCATAGAATGGCAGGGCAAAATGGGGTGGAGGGGGGGCAGTCCTCTCTGCCTCTGTGGGGAGCCGCCTGCCGTCCCTGCAGACGCCATTACAAGATGGCGCTCACATCCGGTTCATGCTGAGCAGTAAATAAGTCAGTACGCATGCCCGAAGTAATTTTCCACCTTCTAGTCTCTGCCTACCTCGTGGCGTGATATGGGCTGATGAGTTTGCGACCAATCAAGAGTTGCCACGTCCAAGACGGGCTTACTAACCTATATAAGGGCTGGGTTTCTGACATTCGGGGTCTTCGCCCTATAAGCTTATGCTCTCCCTCTCAAGATGCATTAAAGCTTTTCTGCAGAAGGATCCTGAGTGTGCCACATCGTTCTTGCTGGCGAGACGATAGTGCGGGACAATCTTTATCTGAATTTTGCATAGTTTATACCTTTGGGGGGGGTAGGGGAGAGACTTACAAAGAAACAACACCCAACAACTGGCACTCAGCTCTGCATGGCTCAGCCTGCTGTTTCGGATGGCTTTTGCTGATGGTCTGCCTCATCACACATCCCTGCATGCCCACTCACCCCACAGAATTCTGTGAGGGGTCCATGAGTCCTAGCACAGTCCCCCAGTGCCCCATGGGGTCCAGGGCAGGCTGGCTTGCCTCCTCCCTGTTCCCTGATTCCCAAAATGGTGCCAAATCCTCCTCCTCTCATTCCAATCTCTCATCATGCTAGGCTCCACCCTTCCCAGGGTGCCCTGGGCTTGCCCATGGCTCATCAGAGGAAGTCCTGGAGGAATAAATTATTTTTGGGCTACACTGTGGGTGCTGGGAACTGAATCCAGGTCCTCTGCCAGAGCAGACCATGCTCTTAACTGCTGAGCCAACTATAGCCCCTTGGTTTTTGCTTTTTGTTTGTTTGGGTTTTGTTGTTTTTGCTTTTATTTTGTTGCTGGTGCTGTTGTTACTGTTTTAGACAGTCTTTCTATGGCCCCAGCTGGCCTGGAGCTTGCTATGTCCACCAGGCTGGCTTTAATCTCATGAAGATCTGCACCCCTTTGCCTTCCAAGTGTTGGGATTAAAGGGGTGGACCACCATACCAGGTTTATTTTCAAATTTTGGATCTGAAAAATTAATAGAAGAATTTAAAAATAGTTAAAGATTATTTTATGCTGTATATATCATTTTGGCTGTAAAACCACCATGTTACCTTTAATACTGCATGAATATGCTTTAAAATTTGCATGTAGTTTTAAAATACTCTTGGATTTTTTTTTTCATGGAATTACTACTTATAGCCCGAATATTACTCATTCTTCCGAAAAGAATAAGCCAGCCAGGGGCAAGACGAATACCCTGGGAAGAGGGGCAGAGCCTGCTGGGATATGGAGAGTAGTCAGCACTATTCCATAGACTTGGGTCCCAGACTGAAATACAAGGGAAAAAAAGGAGCTTTCATCAAAGCTTCCATGTGTGGACATAATGTAATCAATTGTCCTAGGTTCCCACTGCTATTGCTTTCATCCTAGGATAAACTGGATCCCCTCAAAATAGGAGCCAAAATAAACTCTTTCTTACTTGTTTTTATCAGGTATTGTTCAGGATAGCTTTAGTGTCAACTTGACACACCTGGGTTGAGGGAGCCTCAATTGGGGAATTGACTCTATTGGACTGGCCTGTGGCCATGTCTGAAGGGCATCTTCTTGATGAGTGATGTGGGAGGGCCCAGCCCACTATGGGTGGTGCCACCCCTTGGCAGGTGGGCCTGTGTTGCATAAGAAAGCAGGCTGAGCAGGGGCCAAGGGAAAAAGCCAGTAAGCAGTGTTCCTCCATGGTCTGTGCTCCAGCTCCTGCTTTCAGGTTCGTGCCCTGAGTTCCTACCTTGGGCTCCCTGATGAACTGTGACCTGGGAGATGTAAGCTGAATAAACCCTTTCCTCCCCCAGTTGGTATTGGTCAGAGTATTTTGTCACAGCAATGAAGAACAAACTAGGACAGGTATTTTATCACAGTAATGAGAAAAGTAACTAATACAGAAAATTGGTTACAAAAGTAGAATTATTGTTGTTATAATCCTGCCCTTTGCAATTGGTTTACAAGACACATGTGGAAGTTTGGAATTATAGGCTAGAGAAGCCCTAGAAGGCTATAATCAGTAGCTAGCAGGCCATTCTGGTAGAAACATGGAAGGCCAGAATACTGACAGACAGTAAAGACTGTGCTTCCAAGATTTCAGAGGGAAACAAGGATCCAGAAAACTCTGTACAGGCTATTTGTATTATGCTCTGTTTTCTTCTCATGTCCTGAAAACTCGAGTGAGGTTGATTTCAAATGGAATGGACTAAGTAGCCTGGAAGAAGAAATTACAAGACAGCATAACCTCCAGCTGTGATGTGCTTGTTGCTTACTGTTCCTAATCTGATTTATAATGAGAGATTAGATATATTTGAAAAATATGAAACTTGGCAAGGAAAGGAAAATGAGTCAGTTTAAAAATGTAGACAAGGAAAATGTTGAAAGAGTAGCTGTAGCTATCGAAGTGAAACTTCTCAATGGCACTGCTACCCTGGAACAATACGATATGTGGCCTGATAGCAAGACTCCACCCATCAACAACTCAAACTTATGAACATGAAAACTCATTTAAAAGGAAAAGGCTGAACAAAGAAAGCTTCTGATCCTGAAGGGCTTCCCTGCTGGAGAGTGTGTGTGTACGTGTGTGTGCATGTGGTGGGGGGTGGGGGGTGTGAGGAGTAAGGAATGCATATGGAAGTATGTTCGGTAGGAAAAGTGCACAGAGGCCATCACAGGTATGGGGGGGGGCGATACATTAAAGCTGGCAGCGTAACTTAGCAGTTTTGCCCACATGGTGGTTTTGCAGGGATACAAAATATAGTTATGTGATTATTGAGGCTTGCACCAAATAAACCTGAGGACAGGCAAAATGTGACAGAGTCAGTTACCAGTAGTGAGGCCCTGAAAGGACATTGTATGAAACTGTGAAAGTGAAGTCTAAATTGCAACAGAATTAGGGAGGTAGAGCAATTCACACTCATTGAACCCAGATGCTGTCATTAATAGCCCCAGATGCTAAACATCAACCTGTAGATTTCATATTTGTTCTGCTATCTGCTGGGTTTCAGTCTTCTTTTAGTCCTATCTTTCCTTTCAGCGGCCCCATTTTTCCCTCTTGGAATGGGAATATTTTTTTGTATCACTGTATATTGGAAGTAGGTAGCTTAGTTTTTCATTATGTGGGGCTCACAGGTAAGATACTCCCTTGAGTTACAGAAGAGAGTTTGAAATTTGAACTTCTTATACTTTTGGAATGTTTAAGACTTTGGTGTTTTGAGTCATGCAGAATCTATATTTCAAATTATATATACATTTATATATGTGACATGAAGTAGGAGTATCTGTGAGAAGGAAGGGGGATCAGCAGGAAGGTGTGACCAGAGGGTAATGGAAGTGACTAATGTGGACACCATTGTGGGGCAGATCCTGTTGCCTCATTCTTACCTCAAAACGTTGTTTTGCCTCAAAGCACTTATAGCTTTGTTTACTAAGACGTTTCTAGCCATTAAACTTTGTAGTAAATTACACTCTCTAGACAACGTAACTTACATGTAACTTATAACCACCCCGACCCCACTCTCTTGTCAGACACACACGTACAAATGTTGTAAGGGTAGTTAAGTGAAAACTTTGAAAAGTCCAGATCCACCCAATTCTCTAAGTGCATGTTTCATGGAGCACTTGTCTGGTCCGTTTTCAATAAACCCAATTATGCTTCACACTGGCTCCACCAGAAATTGTTTCGCTTGGGTGGAGGTCTGGGAACTCCCTGGGCTGCCGCAGGTGTCAGAGTGGTGGAGTGAAGCTGTGTCTCCACTGGGCCCCTGACCACAGTACTTGTGGCCCAGGATTCTGCCAAGGGTGGGTTGGTCCTGCGCGCACAGCAGGCCCGCACAGCCCGAAGTCGGGCTGAGGGTACCTCTAAGCCTTCCCACCCCGCGAGCGACACCCCGAGGCACTTCCGGAGGAAGCACAGGACTGACGGGACACCCCAGGGTCAGTAGCCAGGAGAGATGGCCTCGTGTGTGTGTGTGGGGCGGGGGAGGCTACACCAGCCCGCGAAGGCCCAGATGCCCTCCAAGAGCCTCAGGTTCTGACTTCTGACTCCTTACGGAGACGCGCTGACGTCAGAGGCCGCGCGACAGGCAGGTGGGGAGTTTCCCGTCCGGGAGGCTGGAGGAGCGCTGTACTACACGCACATGGCGCCCACCGCCCTCAGCCCTGGGTGGTGAGCAGCCAGCATGTGGGTGCGCGCGGGGCGCACGCTGAGGCCCTGGGCCGCGGGGGCCGCACGATTCCGGCCAGCTCGATGTGCTCGGGCGGCGGCCGTGGAGCCCCAGGCGGCGTCCCGGGCCTACGGAGTGGTGACGGAGTTCAAGGTGAGCGGGGAGCCGGGAGGAGCAGGACGCAGGGCATCGCCGGCCCGGAGCCGAGTGTGCGGGACCCCGGGTGCAGCGCCGCGGCCGGGTGTCCCAGTGTGCGGGGACGCGAGCACTTCCTTCTCCGAGCCCGCCTTGCCATCCTGCTTATCTGCCCCTTGCCGCCTGTGGCGCCCGCTGCTGCTTAATTGGTTTGGGAAGCACTGATTGGTCTTAAGCACTTTGCACTTGTTCTCCTAAAAACCTCGAGAAACTGCCCCGGTTTGCCTGTGATTTCTTAGCTATCTGACCTGGGCAGCTCTTTACTTGTGTCCGATTCCTCTACTACACTGTTGAATGGGATGCTAATCAAACAGATTTGCGGGATGTGAAGGAATGGAACTTTTTAGCCCCAAATCTAGCGTGAGGGAAATGCTATTTTTCATTTTTTTTACAGCCAGAATAAACGTGTCATTTCGACTCTTGTTGGAGAAGGTCGGGGTTCACCACAGTAGAAACTGGTAACTGAGATGAAGTTTGAACAAAAAAACTCATTGAATGCAGTTTATGACTTAGTGTAAAAGTAACTTTGTATAATCCACTTGACCTTTTCTGAGATACCCCTGTTTTATTTTTATTTTTTATTTTTTTTTAGTTGTATTCATTGTAACTCAGAGTTCTTACGCAGTTCTGCACACCTTTGATTTGAATGGGGGTAAAAATACTGTGTAACTATCAGAGATTGTTTTGTTTGAATACTTATTTAAATAGATGTTTTATCTGCTTTATATTGCAAAGAAAGAAACGGTAAAACAAATATTGTGATCGTTATAATTTCATCTTGTTTGATTATATAGAATGGGGAAAATGGTTGGATCGTGCACACACACACACACACACACACACACACACACACACACACCTGGCTATTTCACTTGAATACCAATTTTCAGCAGTTTGTGTTGTGTTTCAGTGTAACATTAAGTATATGCTCTAAAACCCAGGAGTTTCATTTAGAATTATCTACGTTCTTCAAAACCAGGTCTTATTGATGTATTATTTTTGTCTTTCTCATCAAAGCTGCTGCAGAATAACAAAACTATTTAAATCCTTGAAGGGTGCATTAGAAACATAGATTTTTAAATAAGCCTGATTCTGTGTGTAATAGGAGCAGATAATCTCTTCATTTAGTCTCTTAACTCCTCTAACAGTTGTAGCTGTCTCATGTTCTCCATTCATGAAAGTAAATTGAGTTCCTGATTGACTCTGTAAGTGATGAAGTATTAGTAAGGGAGTTTTCTCTAGCTTTAACTGTGAATTGATGGATTTGGTAAGTCCTCTTTTGTTGTAATTTGTTGTCATGAACTTAGCCATATATCTTTATTGTCAGAAAAAAAGTGAGGTAAACACTGTAAGTTCTATAAGTGAAATTGTCCAAAGATTAAAAGAATATTCTTTGAATTAGCATATTGTTATATATTATGCAAATATATTCCTAAATGTGATAATTCTTTCCTTTTTAGGAGAAACCTGACATGTCTAAGTTTCCTGTTGAAGATATTAGAAATTTTAGTATCATTGCACATGTGGATCATGGCAAAAGTACTTTAGCTGATAGACTCCTGGAACTAACAGGTATTTCCATTTTATATCTTATGCTTGTGATTACAGTAGGGGAATTGGGAATTTAGTTTTACTGTGCTGCTGCCTTTCATTTGGTTTTAATTTTATATCTACTGTTTTCTGTTTTAAAGATAGGGAAATCAATAAGTGCTTCTGTTTCTAGGAACAATTGATAAGACAAAGAATAATAAGCAGGTTCTTGATAAACTACAAGTGGAACGAGAAAGAGGAATAACTGTTAAAGCACAGACAGCATCTCTGTTTTACAATTTTGAAGGAAAGCGGTACCTTTTAAATCTCATTGACACACCAGTAAGTTTATATTGTTTGGCAAATGTTGTTAAAATTAGCCCTGTTCTAATAGTGCAAAACATTACTTAATTTTTGAGATGAATTTAAAACATCTTAATCTACTTTTTCTCACTGTTTTTGTTAGTGTGATTGTTTCAAAAGTAATAACAAAAGAAAAAAGAAACATTTTACAACTCTTTATCTTAAGCAACTAGTAAATTTGCTTTATCTAGTCCTTAAAAAAGTATAGCTGATATATAAGGTTCTAATATTTTGTTTCATAGGGCCATGTTGATTTTAGTTATGAAGTATCCAGGTCACTTTCTGCTTGTCAAGGTGTTTTACTGGTGGTTGATGCAAATGAGGTAGGTGTTTCATTTGATTTGATGTAGTGTGCCTCTGCTTGTTTCAAAAGGTTCTCCTTAAAATACTTTTTGGAAATAGAATTTTTTTGATTGTTTTATTACTAATTCTAAGTCATATACTTTAATATTGTTAATTTAAAGTTTTATTACACTGAGGTTTTCTATGGGATTGAGTAGTTTATAGTTTGTTTTTAAAGCAGATCAGAAAATTGCTCAAAAAATTGTTTTGTTGAAGTGTGAGGGCTTATTAACAATGCTACCTAAACCTCCCTCATCCATCAATTTTAGATAATCTAAATTTCTCATCTTCATTCAGAACTCAAAGGCGTTTTTCTCTTGCTATGCTAAGCATTTCTTGATTCAACCCAAGAAAGTCAACCTCTACCATACATTACTAAATTCCATTACCTGACTGTTTTCTAGTTCCTTGGAAGTTCATAATTCGTCTTTGTGTGTTGAGTTCCTAACATAGTTCTGGCCTAGAGAAGGATTGAAATAAGGTTCCTGAATTAAACGGAATCATCAAAGGGGGTGATCCAGATGCATGCAAGTTTAGCCACTCCATTTGCTTTGTAACACTGCTTCAGACTTCCTCTGCTAAATTTAGAATGTTGTTTCACCCTACTTGAATATTTCTTTACCAGTGAACCCCAAAATGCAAATGGTAGAGAAAAGTAGGAGGCAGTATGAGTCGGATTCCTATCACTATAAAGATGTATGTGAAAGAAAAAATAAGACAAGCTTATTTTGGCCCACAGTTTTGGCAGTTCTAGTCCATGATTCATTGGCCCGGTTGCTTGTGTAGCAAGGCAGCACACTGGCAGAAGGGCCTGACAGGGAACCACTCACCTTACTCAGGAACCCAAAGTAAGGAAGAGCAAAGACCCCAAGTCTGTAAGAGACTGTTAGATGGCATTTGCTTCAGTTTAGCAGGGTGAGCCCAAACATCAGTTTGATGAAAATATATGGAGTGGTACTGAATTACTAATTTTGTCATAAATGGTACAACAGTCATCTCTTTCGTTTCGTTTTGTTTTGGCATTTCCAGGGTATTCAAGCTCAAACTGTAGCAAACTTCTTTCTTGCCTTTGAAGCACAGCTGTCAGTAATTCCAGTTATAAATAAGGTAATTGTAATGAAACAATGCCATTATTATTTAACTTTTTAACCATATATCTAGTGTTTAATTTTGAGGTTGCTTTTATTTTATTTTTGTTTGCGGGATCTGTAGCTGCTATTTGTTCAGATTATCAGTGGGATTTAGTTTCATGAGATGGAATTGCAGGTCAAATTCTTATATTTTGCACATAACTGAAATGGTAGTTCCTCTTAATTGAATGTGGAGAGAGAAAAGGATGGAGAGCAGACAAAGCATGTCAGTCGCTCTGTACACAGTTTTTGGTGCTTACACTTTTAATTCTTTTGAAAAGAGTCAAAGAGAAATCAGGTTAAATCAGGGGAGCTTATATTAATCTCCATATATCATTGTCATTAATTCATTTTATTTTCATTGTATTACTTTTTTTTTAAAGATAGATCTGAAGAATGCTGATCCTAAGAGGGTTGAAAAACAGATTGAAAAAGTGTTTGATATTCCTGGTGATGAATGTATTAAGGTAAAATGCCTTTTCCTAAAGACTACTGATTATACTTTTAAAAATATCAGGTAATCACCCTAAGTGATATTTCATGATGTCTGATTACTTGGCATTTTATAACTGTTTTTGTAATTTCTGTATTATTTTACTGGATTCTGATAGAAACCCATTTAATATTGTGAGAACACAAAAATCATTACAGTTACTTTTATATGATCTAAGGGTTTGAAGATCTTGTCCTTTCCTAAGATCAGAGGTTTAGTTAGCCTGTCTGCCTGGACTGAAAAAAAAGACTTTTTGAAAGTCTGTGTAGCAGTATTTCTTGTATGCCATATTGTCTGAATAGAAATTTTGCCTTTGGAGAGCAGGTTAAAACAACTTCAAAGAAGTGTTATCATTTGAATTGGCAAAGAACTGTTTATAAAAAGCTAGCTATAGTAATGTTAGGAAACAGTAGATCTGTTTATGCCAAAATTGAATCCATTTTAAATTAGAATTTTTGTTTACCTTTCCAAAAATGGTTTGCTTGTTATATAGCTAGAATGCTGGAGGAGGCAATGATCTAGGGGGAAGACAAGAGTCTCTTTAGACATAGCAAATTTGAAAAGTCTATTAAGATACCCAAGCATACAGCATGTATAAGTATAGAGTTCTGGCTTTTATGGAAAGGTTTGGTACAAAAGTAAATAACTAGTAGTTATCAGGGTGCATGTGGCACTTAAAGCTATGCAAATGGATGTGATTTTCTAGGGAGAAAAATGTAGTGAAGGAGGATGTCCTAGAAGTTAACTGTGTCATCTTCAAGGTAGGATGGTAGAAGTGCAGTGCTTAAGAATGGTTAGAAGAGACCGGGGGATTGAGAGCAGAAGTGTACAGAGATCATTTTCAGAGAAGTAGAGGGAATTCCCAGATTATAACAGAGACAGCAAAAAGTTGTAGGATAGGTTTGTACATTTCATATTTTCTATTTCTTTACTGAAGTAAGAAGCAAGACATCAACTTAGAGTGAACTGACCATGATGGAGAGAATGTGGTTTGGAAGGAAGGTTGTGAGAGAAAATCTTTCAGTAATGTGAATGGTTAGGAGAAAAACATGTCCTGGGCTTTGACTGCCAGGAAGTGTTAACTATACACAAAGATCTAACACACACAGATCTGGGATCATGAATTCAAAGAAATGTAGCAGACAGATTACTTGATTTTTCTCTACGAATGTTAAGCTGCTATGTGTCCAGGCTTACAAAAAGATATGACTGGATACATCAAGGTTGAAGTTTTTCTAGTTGCTTGTGATTGAGAAATAATAATAGAATGTAACCATAAAGAAGCTTCTTTTGCAGCAGAGACTTATTACAGAGTTCCATAACTGGTCACACACAGACATTACTGTGAATTGCCCAAGCCTGTGTGGCATATCTACAATGCAACCTCTATACCTAAGACTCACGGAACATAGAACAAGGGGTAAAGAGGACCCTGTTGCATCCCTCAGTTCTCATCAGTGAAGCTCCCTCATGAAAGAGGGCCAAGAACACAAAAGGTCAAAAATGACCGAAGCTTAGAGAGTAAGAGTCTACAGAGTGTGGATCCTAGGGCAGGAATCCTGTACTAAACTCCACCCATTCAGGGCTCAGGGATCATTGCGGAAGAGAATATGGAAAGATTGTAAGAGCCAGGGAGGAGGTTCATGACCATATGGAAATAGAGTCCTATAAGCTCCTGGGACCTTGTTCATACAAACCTACAGCAATGGTGTCAGCATACACAAGACCCATGCAAACTCAAGCAAACAAAGCCCCAGCACAGAACTGTGGAAATGGACAGCAAACTCCAATCTTAGTTGAAGAATTTTTGGCAGCTGAATACTGCTAGGTGAGGAAGAGCTGATCATCTTAAAGGGAAGGACTCTATTGGCTGACTAGATACGAGTGGAATGAACTTGCACTGAGGGACATCTGGGGACACTAACTTGACACATTAGACTTTAACACAAATGACAGAATGTATGAATTCCAGTGTCTGTGGGGGTGGGGGCAGTACCGTAGGAGGGTCCCAATGGGGAAGGGGGTATAAACGTGATTAAGATTGATGAAGATGTTCTGTATGAAGTACACAAAAATTCAATAAAAAGTTTCCGAAAAAAAAAACAAACAAAAAACAAAACTGAGTCCCACCTGGGATTGGATAGAGAGGGACTGTGGGCTAGTGGATAATGCACAAATGTACATTTACTAGAGTCTAAGTTTTAAGGACTTGTCAAGAAGGTTCTAGAATCTAGAGCTGTGATTTTTCAGTGGGGGTGGCCTTATACCCCAGATGTCTGGACACTCTTTAATACTCAGAAATTGGGCCAGTGCTGTTGGCCCTTGTGGGTACTTAAAATGTTGACTACTACTAAATACCCTATGATGCCCAGGATAGGCTCCAGAATAAAAATTTCCTGGTCTAACATGGTGGTAGGGCCAGGGTTGGAAAGTCCTGGTATAGATAGCATTTGCAGGGTAAGGGTTATTCATAGAATGGATTTTGAAATCAAGATTTCAGAGACTGTTCATTTACTAATTATGACATTGGCATGTGGTTTTTGGCTTGGTTTGCATTTTCAGTGTGAGGACAGTGCACTAGTGATACACCTTACGGTTGCATGTTATCCACATATATCCTTCACTCTCTCCACACAGTATGTGATTTAGCACCTGAACAGTCACTATGCTTTTCAGGTAAAGTAATTGAAGCTTAAAAAAATATTGGTTAAAGTGATGCATTCCATGAAAAGGCATACTTTTTGTTTTGCAATTTTTTTGGTAAATTTTTTATTAAATTTTTGTGTATTTTATACAAAATACCTTAATCATCTTTATACCCATTTCCCCATTGGCTCCCTCCCATAGCCCCCCGACAGGATTTCATGCATTTTGTCATTTGTGTTAAGGCCTATCCTTTGGTGCAGGTTCCTTCACAGAGGTCTACTCAGCCTATCTAGAGTCTCTCCCTTTAAGATCTTCCTCACCTAGCAGTAATCAGCTGCCAGTAGTTCTTCGGCTACGATTGGGGCTTGCTGCCCATTTACACAGTTCTATGCTAGGTTTTTGGTCTACTTGAGTTTGCATGGGTCTTGTGTATGCTGGCACTATTACTGTCGGTTCATATGAGGAGCGTCTAAGGAGACTGTAGGACTCTGTATCCATTTTAAAACTTAGCTCCTTAATCTTTAACACTTTTAAGAATGTTCTCATAATACATTCCTAGAACCACAGAACCACTAACCGTAAATGAGAAGTCCTTATCAGATACTGTTTGCCCTTTTTGTATATTCAGACAAATGAATAGCAGAATTCTTTCTTCCCTCTGATCATAATCACAAGTCACAAGCAGAGAAAAGTACAGCCTTAACTTTAAATGCTTTTGTTCTACATGTGTACTTTCAGATTTCTGCTAAACTTGGAACAAATGTTGAAAGTGTTCTTCAGGCAGTTATTGAAAGAATACCTCCGTAAGTATTTTGCTATTTTTATACTATTCAGTCATCTTTAATAGCTTAAGTTAGATTTCGCGTTTCAATTTAGTTAGAAATTTATACTTTAATGGCCATCAACTTGATTTGTCATTTTTAAATTAGTGGATGTGACAAGTACTCTTGCAATAACTTGGAATAAATTTTTGCTTTTGGTAATATAATTTACAGAAGACAACTACAGTATCATAAAATACAAGAGAAAGCAAGGATAATGGCCATCTTCTGGATAATCATAATATAGGAACTTAATTATATTGGCATTTGTTCTTTGCTTTCTAATGATCAAAGGTTTATAAATAATTTCAAAATTTAAAACTGGTGGTTGAATTAAATCTAATATATTTTATAGAGAGGCTTTATGGTTTAGCCTTTGGGTAATAATCTCTCAAAATTAGAATTAAGCATATATTGCAAGTTGAAATTTACCTTTTACTAAGATTTTGATTTAATGTGTAATTTTAAACTTATATTTTATAATAGTCCAAAAGTATATCGCAAAAATCCACTGAGAGCTTTGGTGTTTGACTCCACCTTCGATCAATATAGAGGTGTGATAGCCAACATAGCACTGTTTGATGGAGTGGTTTCCAAAGGAGATAAAATTGTATCTGCGCATACTAAAAAGACATACGAAGTTAATGAAGTAGGGATTTTGAATCCGAATGAGCAGTCAACTCATAAATTGTAAGTAATCTGTAATAGTAATTAAACTATATTTGTTTATTTGTTTCTTCCTCTTACCATGATGTGCTTAGAATAATCTTAATTTGGTAATTAAGAAGCCTGATTATTTAATGCAACTATATAGCCAATACTCTGTCAAAAGAATCTCATGTAAAGGGTAGTAGAAAGTTTTATGGATATGAAAAATAATCAGGATTTTATTCTTAGTAGCAGTAACTTAGTGATTTAGTGTAGACTGGGTTCTACATTAATTTATTTGATGAGACTATTAAAGATTTAGACCCCTCAACTCATATTCAGTAATTTTTGTTTTTGTTCCTATACCTTTAATCTCATTACAACTAAATTTCCCACCATAAAGGTATTACAGAAATTTGACCACTCTTTTCTCAGTGTGGAATTCAGAGTAAAATCTAGATTAAAATTGATGGGGGAAGGGGGTGAGATTACTAGAACAGTAGATTTGAGTTAGTCTGTGAAACAACTGTTGAGTAACATGACCTTGGGTGCAGTTTCAGGCTTCTCAGGTTTCCTTACCTATAAAAATTAAGTTGTTGAACCAGATGAGTGCATAGATCACATTTGAGAGTTTAATGTTGTATGTCTAGAAAGCATCATGTTTCTCATAACATTTTTTTGAGTCAGGATGTCTATTTTAATGTTAATGAAATGTTTCTGAACTCCATTTATATTCCACCTTTTTTATTTACCATTACTGTGTCTTCATTTAAGGTTTCTCTGCTGCATTCTACATGCAAATGAGCTTCTTACTGCATAGGAAATGTTTTCTGTTTTTTTTTTGTTTTGTTTTGTTTTTGTTTTTTTGGTCTTTTTGAGACAGGGTCTCCCTGTAGCCCCAGCTGTCTTGGAACTCACTATGTAGACCAGGCTGGCCTTGAACTCACAGAGATCTACCTGCCTCTGCCTCCCGAGTGCCTGGGATTAAAGGTGTGTGCCACCATACCCAGCAGGAAATCTTTTTAAGATAAGCTAAAACTATGAATTCTTGCAATCTGCTCTTTTCATAGGATACACAGATACAAAAGAGACTTGCTGAGAGTTTACAGTTTTCTGTTTGGTTACAATTTATCTCTTTTTTCCCTTTGTTAGTGAACAATTTTAAAGCAATGGACATTACAAATAGTATAGTGTACATCTCTATAGTGATAGTACTTTTACTGGGTTTACATTTATATTTTAGAAACTCGTGGTTAGTTTGCAAAAGGTGGGCAGAATCGTGAAGAAAGCTTTGGTTTGTGTAGCAATTTGGGGGAACTGGATAAGGCTTGGTGCATTACTTTGTTGATGAGCTTTATTTAGAGGTTGAAAGTGGGTGTGAGACACTTGTTTAGAAAGTATGCTGGGAAGGCAGAACTAATTATAAGTATGCACTTGAAACAATAAAGCAGTAAACATTTGCGTATACTAATTTTATTCAGATATGCAGGACAGGTGGGCTTTCTGATTGCTGGGATGAAAGATGTCACTGAAGCACAAATAGGAGATACCTTACATTTACATAATCATCCAGTGGAGCCCTTGCCTGGGTTTAAGTCAGCGAAACCAATGGTATTTGCAGGTGAGGAACTCACAAATTCAAAGACTGATGGCCACAATATTTTTGAACTAAGTCTGTTTCTGTAGTGAAAGAAAACTTACTAGACAATAATAGGTGTTCTTATAGCTCCATTTATAATTCTATGCATTTGATGACTTTTCATTTGTGTGTGTGTATGTGGTACTTCTATTTATGTATCAATTTATAGCTTCGGCGGGGAGGGGAGAGGAAGGAAAAAGAGACATTTTATATGGGAAATCACTTAGGATTCCTTAAGAAATAATGCTCTTAAGCAATAAACTAGTATATAAGAGATCTTGGTAACAGGAATTTCCTTCTTTCTCTGGGGAGGTAGTCCATTATATTCGAAACGTTTTTCTTTTTTTTCTAATTAGGATATTTTAATTAGCATTTTCAGTAGAGTAACTGAGTGCCTCTTCTTATTCCAGTTTTCTTTAGTTACACTTTGCTAATGTAAATGTAACAGTTAATAGCCTCTAGCATGTGTAGCCTTAGAACCTTTTATTACTATGAGTGTTGGGAAGTCTAAAAGGCCATTGGTTACTGTAAAATGTGTCTAGCACTTGGTTTTCTTCCCACAATCCCCCCTCATTACAGATCATGAGCTTTGTTTACCTCTGTGCTTAGGCAAAGTCAGTCATTAGGATTTTGGAGGATTTGTAAGGTGTGAATGTCTTAGGTATGAAAAGAGAATGAGGAATCAGTAGAACCTCCCATATTTGGTTTTAATAATTTGTCTACAGAATAAGAGTTGAGTGTAGTTTTCATTTCTGCTGTTATTTCTTACTAGTATCTTTATTGTGAGGGAATAACGTGTGCTTTTTTTTTTGAATGAAAGACAATTTGCCTAATTAATTGTGTGTAGCCTAATTCCCTTGGTTGTATGCATTTTTTCTTTCCTTTTTATTTCTGCAGAAGCACTGTGAAGGGTCAACACAATTATTTTCATTAAAGTCAATGGCTTCTAAGATACTTTGCAAACAATTTAATACTCTGAACTTTACCAAACTAATATTTTAATCAGTAGAATATAGGAAAGTAATATGACAAATGTTGATGTGGAACTTGGCAGCACCACATATTAAATTTGCACTATCACAGCTTATCATGTGATAATCAGCAATTCTTATATCCCCAGGAGTATACCCTGTAGACCAATCTGAATATAATACCCTGAAGAGTGCTATAGGAAAACTGACTTTAAATGACTCCAGTGTGACAGTGCATCGGGATAGTAGCCTTGCCCTTGGTGCTGGCTGGAGGTAAGGGACATTCATATCATACAGTCACACATTTTATGTGCTGGATTGCTCTTGAACATTTCTGACAGTTTAAATTTTAATTATTTTCAGTGTGTGTATGTGTGCGCTTGTATGTATGTACATATGCATATAATGGGTGTATGTACCCAGCATACATGGTTGGAGGCCTGAGGTCAACATTGTCTACCTTAATCACACTTCACTTTAATTTTTGGACAGGGTCTCTCACTGGCTCTGGAGTCTCAGTATCGCCAGCAAGCCCCAGGGACCCTGCTGTTTGTTTTTCCTAGTGCTGGGATCAGAGGTACATGCTGCCCCTCCTGGCTTTTTCACATGGGTACTAGGGATCCAGATTCAGGTCCTCATGCTTGTGCAGTGAGCACTGTACCCACTCAGCCATCTTTGGAACCCCTGAAGTTCAGTTTATGTAAGAAAATGAATTAAAATTCTTATTCTGTCCTTTTTTTCCCCACTTTGGACTCATGTTTTGTGAATAATGTTTATAATAATTTAAGATGGATTCTCAGTGGAAGATTTGTATTTTATTTCATAAAATTAATTTTGCAGATGAAAGAAAAGCTTGTTTCATAAGTGTTTAATTGTGATGGAAAGTGTTTGAATGACTTGATTCAACTCTTCTACAGAGTAGCAGTATGTTCACCAAAGAAAATAAAGCCCATGAAATATAAACACTGGAGTTGCTTTTACTCTTTCCAGGTTGGGATTTCTTGGACTTTTGCATATGGAAGTTTTCAATCAGCGATTAGAGCAAGAATATAATGCTTCTGTTATTTTGACAACCCCTACTGTTCCATATAAAGCTGTTCTTTCATCTGCAAAACTAATTAAGGTATGATAACATTTAGTACTGTTCTGCATCAGCCTGAAAGGGAAATTTTAATAATTACATGTACATGTAGAGTTCAAGAGAATCATTTTAGTTGTTTGTAACTGAATAATTATTAAGGTAATTTGTTATTAACTAGTAATAATAAAAATTTAATAATTTTGAAAACTAATTCAACTTTTTCCTTAATGTGATCTCTTTATAGATAGATAGATAGATAGATAGATACATAGATAGATAGATAGATAGATAGATAGATAGATAGATGATAGATAGATAGATTAAATTTATATTCCATAGTGCTCCATAAAAATCCAAGGAATAGACTTTTTTTTTTTTTCTTTAAGCATTATAAGTTCTAGACACGGAAATAGAAAAAAGTCAGTACAGGGCAATTTTCAACTGTTCACATGAGAGTACATTGGAATTTCTTGACAAGGGCTTCCAGAAGCATCCCTGTATTGGGTTCCTCCTCAGTTTTCTTTTGTCTTCCAAGGCTGGACTCTAGAGTGATGGAATCAGGATTTGCTTTCAGGTGTTTTGATAGCTGTTGGAGTGGTTAGAATCAGTATCAGTTCCCTTTCAAAGGCTTCTAGGTAGGGAGAGAAAACAAATTTATTGATAATATTAGAAGAATAAAGGGTTGTCTTCCTTAACCACATGTGGGCACTGCAGTATTGGAGACTAAGATTTGAAGTCTTAACATCTGAGCAGCACTTTCTGATAAGGAACAAAATCATCAATGAGAAATAATTGTCTCAATAACTTTTTATATGGACTTAAGCCTAATGTCTGGGAAGTATAATCGCTTAAACTCTTAAATAAATAGACTGATGACTTTACTCTTTGGTTATACTTTCCTTTTGTGTGTTTAAGACCATACAGTTGGCCCAAATAAATCAATTTATTTTTACACTTAAGGTCATTTGGGGATCTGTTCCTCAGGGGCTACATGGGCTTGGGAGGAGCCCCTGGCACCTTTCTTTTACCAGTTCTGTCTATGTGAAGATAAGTCAAAGGTCCTGCTCCAACCATGTGTGGCTTCACTTGGAAGCATGGATGAGATGTTTCCTCTGAATTGACCCTCCTCTTTGTAAACTGAACACTTGTTCAAGTCCATCTCGAGGGCTCTCCATGGCCTCCCTGAACAAAAGGACAGGTGACTCACCACAGTTATAGGTCATTTTGTGAAATGTTCCATAGTCCCCTGGAACTTAGTCGACCTTGGAGGTCAAGGGGCAAGAACTATCCTTTAAGTCCCTCTGACCAGATTAGTATAGGCCTCAAAGTATGGCTGTTACATATCCAAGGTTAGTTTCACCAGTCTGGTACTTTTAATTACCATGTACTATGTAGAAAAGCTTGGGTAAAAAACCCAAATATTCTCAGATAAACCTTGACTAAATATATATTTTGTCCTTTAAACTGACTAAACTATGACCTTAAGATCATGTGTATATTATTTTTGTCTCATCCTTTGTATATCATTACAAACCTACACAGACCTTCATCACTTGCTTAGGCGTTCTCATTTTTTGTCTATTTTGGAAAATATTTCCATTCCCATATCCTGTTAACATCTTTCACATTCTCAATTTTTTTTTCTTTCTTTTTCCTTTTTAATAATTATGAGATATAATAGCATTAACAAATATTTTCCATCTATTCTGAGAATTCTTTTCCTGGAGATACTGAGCAATGCTTATATACTTTTAGGGTTCTAAGGTTCTAGTATAAAGCCAATGTTCGATTTTACTGGGGAACCAAAGAATTTGCTGCTGAGGTGTACGTATGACCTGAGGGTATGCACACTGGAAAACCTTTACCCAGCATGGGTCATGCCTTCTCTTCCTAGCCTTCCCAAGATTGTATATGTTAGCCCTCCCCAAATCCAGGAGACCATGTGTGATTAGGGCCAAATTACATATAGTTGGCTGGGAAGAGTGGCTGGATAATCTGGTGAGGGTAAAATGACCCTGCTTGGCCCTCCTTTAATGAGTGAGCACAACCTCAACAAGCCCAATTATGACCATGTTTAGCAATCAGGCACAGCTGAAGTCGTGATGATGGTAGTTATTTCATGCAGAAGAGACTGCTGTCCATGAACCTTTTATGAAAAGGAATTGGAATTTAAAAGGAATTGGTGCTAGGATCCACATATGAGGGAGAACATATGTCATTTTTTTTTTTTTTTTCTGAGTCCGTGTTACTTCACTTAGTATTAACAGTTTCTAGATCCATCCATTTGCCTCCAAATTTCATTATTTCATCTTTACTGCTGAATAGAACTCCATTGTGTAAATATATCACAATTTTTGTTAACCACTCCTCAGTTGAGGGGCACTTAGGTTGCTTCCATCTCGCAGCAACAAACATAGTTGTAACAAGTGTCTCTTCAATATCATGAGTACTTTGAGTATATGCTAAGGAATGGTATAACCGGGTCATAGGGTAGGTTCATTTGTAGTTTTTCAAGAGCTCTCCACACTGCTTTCCAAAGGGGTTACACTAGTTTGCAATCCCACCAGCAGTGAATGAGCATTCCCCTTTCTCCACATCCTCGCCAGCATTTGGTATCATTTGTTCTCTTGATCCTAGCCAGTCAGATTGGGGTAAGGTGATACCTTAGGGTGGTTTTAATTTGCATTTCCCCAATTACTAACCATGTTGAACACGTTTTGAGATGTTTCTTAGCCATCTTTATTTCTTCCTTTGTGAACTCTGTTTAGATCCTTAGTACATCTTTTGTTGGGTCATTTGGTTTCTCCATTCTTTGCTTTTGAGTTCTTCATGTATTCTGGATATGCTGGTGAGGATTTTTTTTTTTTTTTTTTTCACATTCTGGGGGTTTTCTCTTCACTTTTTTGATTGTTTTGCTGTACAGAAGCTTTTAGGTTT